TGCGCTCCATAGCTTCGGAACAGAGCTATGAAACTGATGGATCCTGCAAACAGAGGGCTCCATTGAGCCAAATAACCATCCAAGAATGGCACAGTTTTCAGAGAACCATGCAGAATATCCAGGGTCGGCATCAGCTGGCTTTGGGTGAGATCCCGTCAGCCAACCAAGCTTCCCTACACGGCCTAAGAAAAGCTGGAATGAGCGTGACCACTCAGCGAAGTTACGACCATTCAACAATTGTGCCGTAACTTTTTGAGAGATCATGCCCGGTAATGCTGGTAATGCAATTGTGCTAGTAGGCACTGTATACTGGTCAAACATAAAAGTGGAAGTACCCATAGATGTCTCAACAGTAGAGGTGTCAACAGTAGGGTTCTCAAGTCCCTCAGTACTAGTCATATCAACAACAATACTAGGGCACCCGTGACAGAAAAATAACTCTAAGATAAATAGAGGAATAAAATAAGGGAGAACAATATACCTTCAGTCGAACAGTAGCGACAAAAAGGGAAGGTCCAAAAAAGCTCCCAAATAATCAAGTCACGGTGCCCAAAAATCCAAAATATATAAATAAGTGATCTACTGCATTAAGGACAGATCAACAGAAAAGAGGATCCGCTCCCTCCCAAAAAAGTCCTAAAATAAAATCACAACCCCTCTTAAAGGTCTTATGGTCCCAAATAATCAAGTGCACAAAAAACAACACAAAACTATGAGTTTAATGAACAGTGGGCTGGTTGAAATAAGTGATCTATATATATTGTTTGGTATAAATAAGTGAGCAGCCAGTCGGGTTGTCGGTGGCTGACCCGTTGGCTACCCTTGTGTTCTGGTGCACTAGAGGTCGGACGGTCGAGGCTGGTATGGAGTGGATTTGTCGATGGTATAAATAAGTAACCAATGTTGCTGTGGTGGCGATTATGTGGTGGTGGGGTTTCGGTTTCAGTCGGTGTGGCGGTCTGAGCAGTCGGGTTTCGGTTTCAGTCGGTGGTTTCGGTTTCAGTCGGTGGTTTCGGTTTCAGTCGGTGGTTTCGGTTTCAGTCGGGTTTCGGTTTTGGTTTTTCAGTCGGTGGGGTTTTTCAGTCGGTGGGGTTTTTCAGTCGGTGGGCAGAGTTGGGCAGGCTGTGGGGTGGGCAGTAGCGTTGGATTGAAACAGTCGGTCGCTGGTCTGGTCTGGTCTGATGGGAGGCTGGTGTGTGGTTTTGTCGGTGGGGCTGCTGGACGGTGTAGCAGAGGCAGATAATTTTGGCAGGCAGTCGGTGATCTGGTGGCCTGGGTGTGGCGCTGGAGGTTGGGCAGGCTGTTGCAGATTGTTTGGGTTGTGGAATGGTGGCTGCTGGGAAGGTGATGAAGGCTAGGGTTAAGGTTAGGGTTAGGGTTAGGCTTAGAGATGGAGGCTAGGGTTTTGGCTCTGATACCAACTTGGAATATGTGAAAGGGATTCTCAAACTCAAAGTAGAGTCCCGTATATATAGCCAAAAATAATACAGAGTGACTTAAACGTCCTTGTAGTTTAGGCAAAATATAAAAATCATAGTAAGGGTAAAAAAGGGAAAAGGAATCCTAATAAACCTAGACTACTATCTATACTCCAACAAGTACAAACAATTTTGTAAAGCAGTTCATGTATTATTATCTTCTTTTTCTCTTCACAGAGGAGCTTCTAAATGATGTAGTTCGTCATATAAGAAAAAACTAATGTAGATAAGTCGAAGCAAATCTCTCACATTTTATTCAATTTTGGAGACAAAAGCATTATATTCAGTTGAAAGACTTGTTCCCGTAAATTCTATTTCAATTTCCGCATTCATTTTTTCTATTTTGTGGGCATTGCAAGAAAACCCAATGAAACATCACTAGTGTTTGATAAAGTTCTCCTGATAAAGATTATGTCACCAAAATGCATTGTTATTGAGTTATTGCAGAGGCTAAGTTGTCGACTAGAGGACTCATACTGCTTTAGCAAAAAAAAATTTACCATGCCAAGCTTGGTGCTTTTATGTCATATTATCAGCAATATCAGGAGTGTGACTTGCAACATTGACATTTCCCCATATTTCATTCTAGTTATTAACATAGGAAGGAATAGGAATAAAGACGATTAGAGATGCAATCATGTATCTGTGACTAATCCCGCTTTCCCTCTTTTATCTGTTTTCCTTTTTTATTTTAGAATTAAGGGAGGAAAGAGAAAGAATAAAAGTAGATTCAACAGATGCTAGACTCAAGTTTGAATTTCAAATGAAAAACTCGTTGCCCATACTCAACAAATGTATGCTTGACTGATGTTTGCCAATTTTGCAGTCATTTGGCTATTTACTAGGTATAATACATCATCCAGATTCCAGCCCCTTCATGAATGTTTTTTATTTAAAACTATGGTTCCTCAAATTTAATCTGTTCAAATGTTCATAAATATGAACTCCATGAATACTATATTATTACATCACTTTTGTATAAATGTTCAGTGGACTATACTATATGTCTTGAAGCTCACTCTGCTAGTTATAGAAACCTTACGAGATTCTGTGGGATGAGGATTAGTTTTATAGGTTAGAGTGGATACATGTCCAGATCTTAATAAGATGTGCAGAACACCCATCACTACTCACGGAATAACCGAGTATTTTTAATTGGGACTCTATGCCTCATTGAACTTCAACTTTGTATCCATTTCATTTAAGGGTAATTGGTTTGGTAAACTTGTTAATTTCTTTCAATTTGTTAGAACCATAGAACATCATAACCCTACTTGCTTGTTAGTATCATAACTTAGGTAGTAGTGGTGACCTTCATGTTTACTTGACCAACAATTTAACAAATGTGGAACAACCCAACACACTCTATCCAGTGAACATTTGAGAGATCTGCATATTAGACCCTCTTATTAAGTCTTCAATCAAATTTGTTTGTTGGATACCTTTTACAGTCAGCAGGCGCCACACATATTCTGATATCTCAAATATGTTTTGATCCAAATTACCAAAAACAAATGTGGGGGGCCAATTATGCATGGTACTTCTCGACCATGTCTCTGAGGGACAGTTGAACGAGCAACTCATGTTTTGTTCCATTTTTTATGGCCCTTATTTCTGTAATTTAAAGCGGGGGGTCCTCTACAGGGTACATTACCAGAAGTGGTAGGGCATCATGCCTTCCAACAAATATAGATTCCAGGGTATCACTCCAAGCTTCATAAGATGATTGAAAAGCAAAACCATGTGATGACTCATGTGCTCATGTCTCTCACTGGCCCTCATCCAAATGCCTCCTCACCACTCAGGCTACATCTTGAAGGATATCACACTTATCCTCTCATCTATATATAGACATAACCGGACTTACAACCAACACAAGTCCTCACAAACTCAACTATCTCAGCTTTCTCTTGTCTGAGAAATTTCATCTTTTCACTCTTCCTTCAGAAAAAAACATACCCTTTCAGAATCATGGCCATCCGTATGCTTCGTGTTCTTAATGCTAAGCAAATTCTTGGATTCTCTTTATCGGCATCAAGCAGTACAACTTCAGCAGCCATAGATGTCCCAAAGGGGTACTGTGCAGTTTATGTTGGGCAGAGCCAAAAGAAGAGATTTCTGATCCCTGTATCATACCTGAACCAGCCTTTGTTCCAAGACTTATTAAGTCAGGCTGAGGAAGAATTCGGGTTTGATCATCCAATGGGTGGTCTAACAATTCCCTGCAGTGAGGATTTCTTCATTGATCTGACCTCTCGTTTGCAATGAACATGAGATAGGTCATTAGCAGATTGTAGTAAACACATTTTTGTAAAACAGTTTCATGTATAAATCCCTTTTTTTTCTTCTATTCAGAAAAGTGCATCTTAATAGAAGTATGAAGAATTATGCAGACTAGTTATGGTAATTTTTCTTACGTTTCATTTGATTAGAGACAGAATTCTTTTTTTTTTTCTCTTTGTTTTAATTGCAACAAACTATCCTTAATCAAGCTCTGTTGGCAACTCTTACTCTTGGCCATGGGGTATTTTGAGCCTATAAAGAAGCAGAAGCACACATGAAAGTTCAAATTCTAGTATATCTATTTAAGATTTTACTCTTTATTCGGCCGTTTGGAGCTAGTTTTTTTGGGTGCAAAACAGTAGTTTGAAAAATAAAATAAAAAAGTCAAAGTTCAAAAAGTTTGAAACCGGTTGGAGTGTTTCTAATAAAGTTGGTTTTTCCAGACGTGTGATAAAAGTTGTTTTTGTCCAAAAAATTGATGAAAAAACCAACAAAATAAGTCCGAATCCAAACTGACTAGATTTCTTTTCCTTTGAAAATCTGACAAAAACTAAAATTTTCAACTATCTCCAAACAGGCCCATTGTCTGAGCAATAAAGCATCTGCACCATACTCAAACTTACCTTGGTTCCCACTGGGCTGAAGTAGAATTTTGTTTCAATCATCCAAAAGGTATAGAAAAAATTTACGAGCAATTTAGTAAAGCAGGTACTAATGAAACCCCACACATCTTTTTTTTTAATAAAAAAATTATGATGTAGAATGAGAATTCATAATTATTTTATTTTTATTTTTATTATTTATTTTGAAGAAGCGGTGATGTTTTTGTGTCCCATTCTCGCTGTTGTCATAACAGCAAACAGGCATTTAAAAGCCAGATTATCACTTTGACTAAAGCGTACTTCTAACTGAGATCAAGTCAAACACCTAGAAGGCATTGGTTATACCATTTGATGTCCACCCCATTTCTCTCTCATAATACGCAATACTTTAACTCTGTCACTCAATTCTTATACCACTGCACTCAAACAAAGAACGTTGGCGCCATTAAGAAGTTTCATGGTCATCTACTAAGGACAGGCTTCCTCTTTATCTCCCCTAACCTTCAGACCCAACTCATATTCACATACAGAACATGCCTTCACAAGAACAACCTTCAAACTTTAACAAACTTCTACAAATGCCTCAATCCCAAAAACCCATTACCCTTTAATTCAATCATTTCCTTGTTTTGTCAAAATGGGTTGCCGTCTCTTGCTCTCCAGACCTTTTCTTTCATGCATTTCAATGGTGTTCCCATAGACTCCTACACTTTGTGTAGCTCTTTGACAGCTTCATCTTATACTCAAAATGTTCTGTTTGGTAAACAACTGCATTCCCTTGTGGGAAAATCAGGGTGGTTGTCGAGTGTGTTTGTGGGCAGTGCTTTGATAGATTTATATGCAAAATCATCACTTGTTAATTTTGCAGCAGCGGTGTTTGATGAAATTCCGGTTAAGAATACCGTGTGCGCAAACGCACTTTTGTCGGGTTATGCTGAAGCTAAGATGTGTATTGATGGACTTGAACTTGTTCGGAAGATGCATGGAATTAATTTGAAGTATGATAATTTCACGTTATCAGCAGCTTTACATGCATGTGCTGGGCTATCTGCAATAGAATTTGGTAGGCAGGTACATGCAAATGTAATTCGTACAGTTCCTGATTTGGGATCTGATATGTTTCTGCAGAGTTTGTTAATTGAAATGTATGGAAAGTGTGGACTGGTAGAGAAGGCTAGGCAAGTTTTTAGTATGTCAGGATTTGAACCAAATGATACAAAGAGGGATGTAGTTTTATGGAGTTCAATGCTTGGTGTATATGGAAGAAATGGGAGCTATATAGAAGTGATTGGATTATTCAGAGAGATGCTGATGGAGCGGATTAGACCAGATGGGGTGGCTTTTGTGACCGTCATCTCGGCCTGTGGTCACACAGGCCAACTGAATCTTGGGATTCAGTACTTTGAATCCATGGCTCGTGATTTTGAATTATACCCCACCCCAGAGCATTATAGTTGCCTGGTTGATTTGCTTTGTAGAGCAGGTGAATTGGACAAGGCATGGAAACTGATGAATGAGATGCCATATACAGAGAATGGCGGTTGCACAATTGCCATGTGGGGCACCTTGCTTAGTGCTTGCAATGAGTGTGGAAATGTTGACCTGGGCAAATTGGCCGCCAGAAGAGCATTGGAATTGGATCCTCAGAATGCTGGGATTTGTGTTTTACTGTCAAATATGTATGCAAGGTTTGGTATGTGGAATGAGATTGGGCAATTGAGGGAATTGATGAAAGAAAGAGAGCTACAGAAAGATGTTGGATGTAGTTGGATAGAAGTCACAAGTTGAATTCGGGGGCAATTCTCTAGGGAATAACATATATTCCCTTCTGACTTTTCAGTTGTTGAGTTTGGTGATAGGCATTGCTTAAGATAGCATCCCCAAGTAGCAGTTACACCGATTTTTTTTGGCAGTCTCATCACAAAACTGAAGTTATGGACCTATATAAATGTGACAGGACTCTTGTTTAAAATTTATTGACTGCCATTATTCATCTTCGTAAGTCAAATTTGGTGAAGTTGTTGTATGGTTGAATTGGATACTGGCAGTTTGGGAAGTTGGCTAGTTTCAATTATATTGATAAGATGAAGCTATGGATTAGGTACACTCTGGGAAACTCAGCTGATTCATGATTCAAGTGATGCCATGTAAATGGCACTTAAGTCCTCAATGGACGGAGGATAAAACCAACTCCAACACAAATTATCTTTCTGTAGTTAACCAAGAATAAGTTTCAAGTGATTCCTTAACAGGGCTATTAGTGCAGCATCTTAAGTAGGCTCATTTCCAAGCCTTCATCTTATTGTCTTTGGGAATATCTGGCTGCCTCTGCTTCACATGGATTCCCCACCTCGTTTGAGTGCTTGTTCCCGAGCTTCATCTCCCTGCGCTCGACTGTATCTTTGTTTTGGTCAGTAAGTGTGCATAATACTCTGTTGTCACTCTCAGCAGCCTGTAGGTGTAGTGAAATTAGGACAGTTTAACTACTGCAATGATGCATTCAACAGAAACAGGGAAGCTATTGAAGGTTCCAATCCGAGGAGAGGGAGCAACAGGAAGCTCACATGGGGGATTCTCTTGACCTTAATGCTGAGTGTTACCATGGTGAAGATATTAGTTGCTGTAATTATTTTTCAAGGATTAATTTTCTTGGAAAGAGTATCATTATTATAGGAAGATCAATGATTTTTTTTTTGTGGAAATTCTAGTAAAAAATTATACTGGGTTCCAATTTACTCGCCTACTTGTCATGTAGTCATGCCCATGGTGGTTGTCCCTGGTATAAAAATAAAGTGGGTTTTGGCTCAACGATAAGATTGTTCTATTTATGACTTGAAGGTCATTTGTTCGAGTTATACTTGCAGAGATAAAGGCTACCTATATCTAACCCTCTTTAAACCCAACAATGTCGAAAGTTTCGTACACTGATTCGTCCTTTTAGTAGTGAGTTTAGGGGGTGCTACATATGAAGTGCATATGAATCAAGTGGGACTTTGTATGAATATGCCAAAAGTTAAGTGGCACTTTCTGTGAATATGCCAAAAGTTGGGGTGACAAGTAGAAATATCCAATAGCACGGAGGGGCATGAAAGCAAAACTCACAGATGTTACAACCGAAAATTTAACAGTGAAAGATGTTGTTTGAATTTAAAAAATTGATTTAATTTGTTATATAATACTGTAATTTTATTAAAATTATTGGATAAATAAAGGCAATACTCCAGTCGATGCGCTCATCGTACTATTCAATGAAAATTTGACACGACATCAATAGGGAATAATTTTGTGTGACTTGACTAAAATACCCTTACCGAAATTGCCCCACTGGCTTTTTTATTCGTCCCTAGTGAACCATTCTGTAGTCCTTGCCGTATCTGATATTTATTCAACCCTTACCATCGTCGACGCCGTACTCTGCACCTCGGCAGTGTGCAATCAAACGAACCGTATTTTCTTCATATTCACTTCGATCAATCTCAAGAGGAATCGATTTGTAGAATGCCACAGAGTGGATCGACGAAAAAGCACGCACCAGATCAGCTGGAAATTGGTGGGCCCACTCCAAAATCGCAGCGCATCAAAATGGGTAAATCTTCGGACGACAATGAGAATAAGGTAAAATTTTTCACTTCCCGAAATTCAAATTTGACGAATACCCATTGTTCAATTCACTAAAATAACACTACCCATAAATGCCAAAAAAAAAAATCGAGAAAAAAGATGATTTCTTTGAATTTCTTACTTTGTTGTTGTTTAGGGGTTTTAATGTTGTGGATGGGTTTTGTGTAGAACTTGAGTAAGAAACTCAAAGAGCTTGAAATTAGTGTTCCGATAGTGTACGGTAACGTTGCATTTTGGCTTGGTAAGAAGGCGAGCGAGTGAGTATTGTTTAAGCTGATAAGCTGTATTTACTGTCTGTTACTTGTTTGACAAAGTGACCATTTGAAGTTCTTTGATTATTGATTAGGTTTCAGTCACACAAATGGACGGTTTATGTCCGCAGTGCGACGAATGAGGATCTGAGTATAGTGATTGATCGTGCTGTTTTTCAACTGCATTCGAGTTTTAATAATCCCATGAGGGTTGTGGAGTCTCCACCTTTTGAGTTATCGGAGTCTGGATGGGGTGAATTTGAAATTGCCATTACCCTTCACTTCCACAGCGATGTTTGTGATAAGCCATTACATTTGTGAGTTGCTTTACCTGTTATCTGTCTCTGATTTTTCAAGGATGCAATGCATTTTTTGTGTATGGTATTCCCAAAGATTTAAATGTTTATTCAATTACATTTTTCCCTCTATTTAAATTTCCCTTACAATTAACATGCTTAAACTATTTACAGATATCACCATTTGAAGTTGTACCCAGAGGATGAATCTGGTCCCATGTCCACTAAGAAACCTGTTACTGTGGAAGCATATGACGAAATTGTTTTTACCGAGCCTTCAGAAAGTTTCTTTGCTCGTGTGCAGAATCACCCAGCAGTTATCGTTCCTAGACTACCTGCTGGTTTTAGTGTACCTGCTCCTGGTGTGCTTTTCTTTTTGGTTGTGTTATGAATTGATTTTGCTCTTCATTTAGGTATTAAATTACCTTGTATATCTCTGTGATTCCAACAGAGGAAGTGGATAAAAGGAAGAGAGGTGACACCAAAGACAATCCCTTGACCCCTTACTTCACAAATTTCTCTGAGGCAGATGAATTATTAAAGCTTGCTGCAGCTCGTCAGCAGGTCAGAATGGATAGAATGCTTTCCCTTTATATGACCCTTTTTTGTTTCTACTTAGGTACTGGAAAATTCACTTATGTTCCACCTGAATGGAAGTACATGCTTGCTTGCAACCGTGTGAGTTGTGTATGTCGTATTTAAATTTGTAGAAAAGCTTATATGAATCACATAGACGGTTCTGTAGAGTGCGGTACCTGAACCATTGAACTACTCATGCAAGTACTAGTCCTTATGGAAAGCTACTACCTATCTGTATACTCTACTTCCTCTCTGATATTAATGTTTGGTTTTTGTGCTAATCTATCATTTTTTGTAATGATGGGGTTAAGATTGATACAATATCCATGGTGGAAGATTTGTATCTCCATTGAATCTTAAATGGAATTGTAAAAAGAGATTATCTTTCTCAATCAAGTCTAGAAAAATTTACTCCATCCCTCCCAATATTAAAATCCCTTTTCTTTTGTTATATGCAAAATTTAGTATTCTTTACTTTCTTACTATAAATTTCTTCTGTAATCGTGAAATGTTGTGTAAAAAGAGTAACATATAGATTTTCACCAGGCAAATGGCTAGTCATTAGCCTTGCTAGCTCATCATTGGTACAAAGAACACGAACTAATCTCCCTCAAAAGAAAAGGATAAGAAGTGGAAATAGAAAGTCAAATGATTGGACTCGTGCGGAGGGTAGGCCAGATGCAAACCTAATCTTTGACGTGGCATATTATTCCACAAAGTAGCTGCTCTTAAACTCGAACCTATATTTTCATATTTGACATGAATTCATAATTTTCCAAAAAAAAAAAAGTAAAGTTGCACCACTCTCAGTTTTCTTCATGCTTTCTGGCCTGCCACTTTTTTTTATTGCAAATGTTCTTTGGTGTAATCATCTTTGATGCAATCAAGAAACCTTGCCTTTGCCTTGAAATTCTTGCAGTTCCGAATGCTGCAAATTTTGCTGCTATCTTAAATGTGGTGTAGAGCTATGTTTGTTCCTCGCTTGGAAAACTTCATTTTCCTTCATGTGACCACTTGTTTGATCCTAATATTTCTGAACTTTCTGTGCTTTTAAATCTTTTATGATTGCTGTCATAGTTTAAATTATGCTCCCATGTTGATCCAGTGTTGTAGGACACACTTTAGTTTCAAAATTAATCTTGGCGCTCAGCGCAAGAGAGGGCTTTTAGGGCCTGATTATGTTTGTTTGTCACTCAAGTTGGTAGCATCTTGGGCCTTGAGGTTGCCTAAGGTAGTAGTACTAAAGAATAAGGGTTTAAGGGTTGAATTAGGACAAGACAGAGTTCAACAAGTGTTCAGTGTTTTTAAACTCCTTGGATCTTGATGGAGTTTAATGGAAGCTCAGGATTAGATTCCTAACTAAAATAACTTTACATGCAGCGATATCTTGCTGATGCCTCCTTGCATCATACTGAAACCAACACTTTCACTTTGTTCTCTATTTCAATAAGTACAAAACTGAAAATTCTTTTTAACTACCCACCCATTAGTCAGTTACTTTGGAAGCAAATTTATTGCACTGTTTGAATAAACCAGTTCATCTGAAATGGCTCAGGTTTCTACTAGTTTTTATCTTGTGGATCTGTGAATTTCAGAAACAGTTTCACAGGCTCTGCACAATACTGATATGCAGGATTTTGTTCCATTTTATTTCCTAGATTTGGTGTTTCCACATCAAAAAGGAACTGAGAGCTTTTCAGTTTGCGAATATAGCGATGCATCATAGCATTTACTTTAACTTATTTATTTACTTATCACAGCACAGATAAAATGTTACCATCTGAGGGCAAAATCCAGAAATTGAGGTTTTGGCGGTTTATTTGAATGTGACAGGTGCAAGCTCATATTGCTAGACTCAGGAGGCAGTTGACTTTGATAGATGGACAGAATCAGCAGTTGAAATCTACCTCTGACCTCTGAATGTACATTATATTTTGCATTATTTATGGAACTTTTTTTTTTTTGGTTAGTATTTATGGAACTTTACTCTTTACTGAGAGTTATTGGCAGAAATCTTTTTATTTTAACTGGATGAAAATGT